ATAAAAGTATTTATAGGGTATAGTTATTTCTAATAAAAGTATTTATAGGGTATAGTTATTTCTAATAAAAGTATTTATGAGGTATAATTATATCTAATAAAAGTATTTATAGGGTATAGTTTTATTTCTAATAAAAGTATTTATAGGGTATAGTTATTTCTAATAAAAGTATTTATAGGGTATAGTTATTTCTAATAGTTATTTCTAATAAAAGTATTTATAGGGTTTAGTTATTTCTAATAAAAGTATTTATAGGGTATAGTTATTTCTAATAAAAGTATTTATAGGGTATAGCTTTATTTCTAATAATAGTATTTATAGGGTATAGTTATTTCTAATAAAAGTATTTATAGGGTATAGTTATTTCTAATAAAAGTATTTATAGGGTATAGTTATTTCTAATAAAAGTATTTATAGGGTATAGTTATTTCTAATAAAAGTATTTATAGCGTATAGTTATTTCTAATAAAAGTATTTATAGCGTATAGTTATTTCTAATAAAAGTATTTATAGCGTATAGTTATTTCTAATAAGAGTATTCATACGGTATAGTTATTTCTAATAAAAGTATTTATAGGGTATAGTTTTATTTCTAATAAAAGTATTTATAGGGTATAGTTATTTCTAATAAAAGTATGATAAATTTGTTAGATATGGAAAGTATAAACATTATCACCATTTTTATACAGGACCTGCACACAATTGATAATCAAAAACAAAGAATGAGTGTGCTATGAGGGAAATTTTGTCAGGACAGCAGCACTACAGCCTACTCTTATATTGAATTCCAACTGCCAAGGGATCTTTTACGTGCATATTAATATGTACATGTGACCTCAGTTTTTCGTGCCATCCGAAGGTCTATACATTGTCCCTTGCCAGGTCCTCGGTTCTGCACCACTGACAAGGAGGAACCACACAGAAAAACTCTGAAGAACTTTCTCAGCCAACGCAGGGATCGAACACCCGACCTCTCGGTTAGCGAGCCAGCGTCTTACTCACTGAGCCACCGTGACTCCCAGAAAACAATCAGCTTTGAATCACAGTTGTTATGGCAATGTGTAGTAACACATTTATCCAACAAGACTGATTAATAGTAAAATAGTTTGACTGGAGAAATTAAATCATTTAATCAATTTTACATGCCATAAAAATATATCTCCTGGTATATAATATTGAATATATTTAATTAGGATATAATATCCAACTAGAGCTATCACTGAACATTGAATTTAAATATTCAATACAATTTATAAAATTTGATTGTGTTAAAGATACATTATGGGAGATTCGGTAACGAGTTGGCATTTCTTACTATAATAGTTAAAAACTAGATAATGTAAAGGTAATTTGCTGAAAATTTCATTCAAATTGATCCACTATGAACCGAGAACTAAGAGACTGAAATTTCCCGCTAGCCTCGGTCATCATTACTAAAGTCAGTACAATAAACAGCATAGTCTCGATTATCCATTTAATCATTAAATCGAGAAGAAAAGTTGAGCAGTAAATCGGCTCACAAACCACTAAAGATCGCAGGCTAGCGCTGCCATCTAGAGTTGATTATGGCCTGGATAGGTTAATTAATGTCTAATTAATAATTTAGATAACATTTCAGGCCTAAAGAAAGACCTTCAATAGACAGATTTAGCTCTTGCATATGTATGTTTAATAAAGTGACAAGAAAATATTTCTGCCAAGCATAACACTTCGGTGAAGACATTAAAGATACATTCATTTGACAGTCAACAAGTTAACTAGAAAATAGATTTATATTCCAAGTACAGAGAACAATATATTTGTTGTGAATATGTATTAAAATAAAATTGATTTAAATGTTAGTTCAGAAAAGACTTAGTTTGTGTCTAGTGGATGTTCTATACCAAATGTAAACAGCGCAACGTCCGCTAATGTGACGTCACGATGAATAGCCAATAAAAATTCCACACCGTTCGATCTATTTTTAGCTGTGGTTCGAGATCTAACTTGATAGAAAACTGCAGTCACGAGAACACTTGAAAGAGACAAAACAATAAATTCCTACTTTCGATTATGCCGTGGATTACGCAGGTATACAATGGCGATTTCAGTGTCATCATCGGCAAATCGCTGTCGTGATATTCTTAAATAAATTACCACGGCTAAAGATACCGTAGTTATTATTTATTTTCTATGACAATTTCGCTAAATACTACGGCAATTTCCCTGGGTGCCATCATGAATTTTGACCCTTGTATACATTGGCATGCATGTAAAAGATCCCTTGGCAGTTGGAATTTGCCTGGGCAAAATTTCCCTCATAACACATTGTTTGGTGTATGCCTTTCTTTATTAGTCCCGTCGGAGCTGAACAGTAAGACGTTAAACCCCATTTCATTTCATTTTGGTAGGGGGGTTGGATGGCTGAATGGTTAGCGTGCGCGCGCTGTATCATAAAGTCTGTCATTGAGTCGACTGGCGTGGTTTCGAATCCCCAGTTGTACGTGACAAGGAATAGGGTCGCCTGTCCAACCTCGGGGGTTTTCTCCGGGTCCTCCGGTTTCCTCCCACTGCCAAAGACCCCTATGCGCAAGCGAATTATTGAAATAAAATTAAACCATATGTTAGTCCCGAAATGACCTAGTTTGTGTCGAGTGGACGTTAAACCCCATTTCTCTCTCTCTCTTTCATTTTGGTATTTTGTAAATATTCATTGTCCATATGCTGATTACACTATTTTGCCATATTACACTATTTTGCCTATACCGTTTTTTTTTTAGGACTTCGAATTTCGTCTAATGGTTTGGATTGTTCGTACTTAGTTTTATTTTATTTATATTTATTAATAATCATCAAGTTGCACTAAAATGACCTAATTAACCTAAAGGAAGTATACCATGTACCTTTAAATGATATTACCTGAAGAAAAAACCCCACAGTTTTAGTAGATTTATAGCTGATTCATCAATTGTCACCTAGGAAAAACGTTACCTTATGCTGTTTACACATAAATAAAATGGACAAAAAATTAAATGAAAGTTGACTAAATTTTGGGAGTAGATCATGATTGAGCATAATAAAACATGACAGATAAAGATATGTTATTATAATAATAATAAACATAAAATAACATAAAATTAGGTCATATGATAACTTGAGTCAATAGATACATTTTGACTTTTGACTTAAAAACAAAACCCATTAGTTCTGTGAAAAATGGTACACACAAATTACACAGACATGCAATAAACAACAACCATATGTACATATCAAATCAGTTGAATGGATTCCAGTATACCATGTTTAATAATAATACTTATATCACAGCAATTAGACCATGTTTCATAACACATATATCACAGCCAATAGACCATGGTTGATAACACTTATATCACAGCCAATAGACCATGGTTGATAAAACTTATATATATATATATCACTGTCAATATACTATGTTTAATCAAATAGATTTCATTGTCATTGTACCATGTTTAATAAGACCCAGATCGCAAATGATAACGATGGCTCTATACAATGCACAAGGATAATATACATGAAACAACTAGTCAAAATCATAGTAACAAAACAAACCGGGGGGAACTACATGGCAGTTCAAAAACATATACAATGACATTAAATTAACATAACAACATATTACAAAAATCAATTATTATACATATCAATTGGCATCTATTTCATAATTTGGTTTGATTTATATTAAACATAAATTATGCAAGAGCTAAATCTGTCTATTGCAGGTCTTTCTTTAGGCCTGAAATGTTATCTAAATTATTAATTATACATTAATTAACCTATCCAGACCATAATCAACTCTAGATGGCATCGCTAGCCTGCGATCTTAAGTGGATTGTGAGCCGATTTACTGCATAACTTTCCTTCTCCATTAACCGATTAAATGGATAATCGAGACTATGCTGTTTAACGTACTGACTTTAGTAATGATGATCGAGGCTAGGTGGAAATTTGATTCGCTTAGTTCTCGGTTCATAGTGGATCAATTTGAATGAAATTTTCACCAAATTGCCTTTACATTATCTAGTTTTTAACTATTATAGTGAGAACTGCCAACTTGTTTTCAAATCTCCCATAATGTATCTTTAATATGCAAAATATATAAATTAGAATATTGAATAATTATTTTAATTAATTGTGATGATAGAAGGCGCAGTTCTCTTGCTGGACACTTCACAGGCATTGAAAATAAGCAGGATGAAAAAAAACGCCTAGAAAGTCATAAAACTTTATTACAAATAAATTTCAACGGAAGAACCATCCGACGATGCATACTTTCACCAGGAATGACCCACGTTTCGCATTTCCTTTACACTACATTTAATAATATCGCAGTCCTCTATGCCATAGACAAGTTGTTTTGACGATGTGGTGTGAACAAACACGTGATTGTTTTACGCTCAGAGTATCATGGCAAGACGCACGTGTAAATACTACTCAGGTCGTCTAACCACTGCGAAATCATTCTACCATGAAATGTAACGTGAGGGTCAGAAAGGGATAAATGAAAGAGCAGAAAGTATTTGTCACTTTTCGGTTGAAACGACTCGATAATACATGTAATTACTATTTTTCACATTTTGCTTCACAGCCAATATACCATTTTTAATAACACTTATATCACAACAAATATACCATGTTTAATATCACTTGTATCACAACCAATATACCATGTTTAATATCACATATATCACAGTCAATATACCATTTTTAATAACGGTTGTATCACAACCAATATACCATGTTTAATATCACATATATCACAGTCAATATACCATGTTTAATATCACATATATCACAGTCAATATACCATGTTTAATATCACATATATCACAACAAATATACTACATGTATCTTTTATAACACTTATATAAGTGCTAGAAGAAAGTGTTTTAGTGCATGTTTTATGATATTTAAGGTGGTGGTATCGTGCAGGACCACCATTTTAGATCTGACCGTTATTTATTGTTGTATTATGATTATTTCAGGCCTATGCTGCAGGATGTAATATTGTGATATTAGCCAGTAATTTTGAACGTGTTCAGATTATACCAGGTGTTACTCATGGTAATATTAAAGTCAGTTGTATTGATTGTTCTTCGGATACAGGAAAGGTGAGTAAAGTCAATATGCATCATCATTTGCTATCATGATAGGTTCCCACTATCATGATATTCGTGCTATGATTGAAATCGTGGTTTTAATCGTGGAGGTCTTGTCATATATTGAGGCCTGTTGTAGCAATCGTGGTAATCGTATCGAAACGTATCTGCACGTAGAAGGTCGTGGACTCACTAGGGACAATCCTATCGTAACACATCGCACGACAGTGGGCACCAGACATTACTTTGAGAGAATGGACCAATAATTCGTGTTTGTGAAGTCGAAGACTGTGGATGATAATGAGCTGGCGCCTAACACCCTTTAAATATACCTCACAGGGTATCCGATGATAACAGTGGGTTGGTTACAAAATGTGCAGAAATGTAGCTTGAAACAATTTTGTCTTCGAACTCAAAGTTACTTTGATGAAATGAAACGAAACGAAACGAAACGAAACGAAACGAAACGAAACGAAACGAAACGAAACGAAACGAAACGAAACGAAACGAAACGAAACGAAACGAAACGAAACGAAACGAAACGAAACGAAAACGAAAACGAAAACGAAACGAAACGTCCTACTGTTCTGCACCTATACTGGGCTAATGAAGACGGGCATACGCCATACAGTATGCTATGACTGAGGGAAATTTTGCCTGGGCAGCGGCACTATCGCTTACTCTTATATCGAATTCCAACTGCCAAGGGATCTTTTACGTGCATTCCAATGCATACACAGGACCTCGGATGAGACAGCTGTCCTTGTCAGGCCCTCCGTCCTGCATCACTGACAAGGGGGAACCACGCCGGAAAATCTGAATGAACTTTCTCGGCCAGTGCAGGTATCAAAAACTTTGATTAAAATGGTAATTGTGAAAGCAGGACATAAGGCACCTCTGACAGATATTATCAGACACAAATTATAATATATACATCGTGTAATAATCTGACCATGTCTGTGACCAGATAGCTTGTTTCCATGCTTACTGTATGATAATTTGTATGTCCAGACTTGGTAAATAAGTTATTAATCCTTTAGAGACATTGAGTAACTAGATAAAGCAATAAAATATAACACATGCATGGAAAAACCAGCTGCTAATTTATTTGGACGATGTTTTTCGAAGAGTGGAGCCATGGTGGCTAAGCGAGTAAGACGTTGGCTCGCTAGCCTGGAGATCACATGTTCGATCCCTGCGTTGGCCGAGAAAGTTCATTGGGACTCTCCATTGTGGTTCCCTTTTGTCAGTTATGCAGGACAGAGGGTCTGGCAAGGGACAATGTGTAGTCGTTCGGATGGGTAAAAAAAGAGAGTTCCCGTGTACACATTGATGTACACGTAAAAGATCCCTTGGCAGTTGGAATTCAATATAAGAGTAGGCCATAACACCGCTATCCGGGCAAAATTTCCCTCATAGCACACTGTATGACATATGCCCGTCTTCATTAGCCCAGTCGGAGCAGAACAGTAGGACGTTAGACCCCATTTCATTTCATTTCTTTTCGAAGAGTATTCTCTCACTTACTTTTTGAAACGTCACCCAAATAAATAAGTATAAGTAAGTGTTATAGTTTAGTAATTAAATAAGTATAAGCAAGTGTTATATACATGTAGTTTAGTAATTGTGTTCTGTGTTTATGAGTTTAATAGGTGAGTAAAGTTATGTAGATACTTGTCATGGGGTCGCCTGCCCAAAGTCATGTGTTTTCTCCGCATCATCTATTTTCTTCCTTCTGCCAATGAACCAACACACAAGCAAAATTATTGAAATAAAAACGAAAAAGTTATGGGACTGTGAAAAGTATGATATTTTACGATTTGAGGCACATTGAAGTATATAATATTTTTATAGAAACTAATGGGTATTACTTTGTATAAAACCATTGTACAAATTAGTCAGAAATTATAACAATCAGTAGAATTTGACTAAAATCCGTATAGATGAACAAATTTAACCAAAATCTGGGTTTAGTCATCTTAGAATAGAAATCAATCTGATTAAGACACAGATCCTATTTCGTTTCGTTTTTATAGTTCAAAATTTCGTTTTACTTGTCTTTACTACACTAGGATCTGGAAGAGTTGTTATCATTGACGTGTTCTGGATGATGTGAGGGAATAGCCAAAGAAACGGTCTGTTACGGCAAGCTTTAGGCGTGTTTTGCACGGAACTGTTTGTAATCCACTAGTAACTGGCGTCATAGGGTCAAAAGCCGCTCGTATGACCTCTGACGCGACCTACATGTATCGCTACAACTGGTCAGATCTTCATGTAGTATAGGCCATCGAAAGTATAACAAAACAAAACAAAATATAGATCTGTATTGTAATCAGATGGAATAGAAATGCTTTATTTCAGTGTGTAATAATTAATGTTTGCTAGCTTCTTTGTTAACATTATCTCATAATATTACACCACTGAAACCGAATCACCAGCTGTTTATAAGCAAATCCAATTCATTTTATATAATTATATTAGCAATAATATCGAATAATGTTCTTGTGATAGAAATCCTAATTGGAATATCGGTTGCTTTTCAGTTATCATTAAGTTTTTAAATATAGGTGACGTCCAATCTTTAACATGGATCCGGGCCGAACAGAAAACTGACCACATTTCTTAGAATATTCATCCGATTTGAATAGCCGACGTGAACGCGGTTCTAGTGATATAAGATTTATTGAGCTTTATCGAGTTTGATTATGATTGATTAAAAGTAATTCAAGTTAATTATTTGATACGGTAATGAGACGCCGATACGAAGAGCATGTTATGGATATGTTAGTTGTATGTATGGGGTAGTTCAGTTAGTCTTGTATCCGCTCACCACAACATTATGGTATGATGAAAGCCTCAGTATTGTCTGCAATTCTAGTTATATTTACAATTACGTTTTTTTCATTTTGTGAAATGCATATAAATAAATCAGTCATTGATTTTCAAGGCGAGTGATCCCTCATGAGCACCTGCTGCTCACCTGAATGTCGATTGAGGGGAGTTTTTTCCCCCTCCCCTTAAAACTGAAAATAGCTCTCCTTTACATAGTCATTGGGGGTTTATTATCATTTATGAAACCAGGAATGACCCCATTACATGCAGTTATTGATCTTAGAATCATTTCCCATGCACATAACTAATCACTCTCCTTAATATCAGATCACTCTCCTTAATTTCTCAATCACTCTTCTTATCAAAACTGGGAAAGATTTTTGAGGGGAGCGATTTTTTTCAATTCGTTGATTGAGGGGTGCTTTTTTTTTTTGGCTCTCCTCTGAAATACAAACAACGACTGAATAAATGTGGGTGTATCTTGTCTGGCAACCGCTGGTTTCATTTTGTGAAATGCATATAAATAATTGAAACATTTGTAAATAAAGTAATAGGATGATATTGCCATGGGGGAATACATGTACATTGTATATAAGTAACATCCTGTGAAATCATTTTATTGTTTGACAGCTATAACGACGCCCATCAGTAAATATAAATTGAGTCATGGATATATTTTTAAATTCAATAAAATATGAGTAACTATGTATATCTAATAAATTGGTACATAATGTTACGTATGAAAATAATGAAGTTTTAGATCTAAATAAAAAAAACAATGACTGTTGAAATTAGTGTTAAAATAAATGTTTTTTTTCTATCCGAAAAGACCTGGTTTCCTTCTAGTATTAGGTCATATTTTTTTTTCAAGTATTTTTTTATATACAACATTTTAAATGTTATTGTTTTTCTCGTTTTGTTGATAAATTTATGTTTTTATCTAAGTTTATATAGAAAGACATCATGCTGTGTCGAGAGGATAAAAGTCAATTATGAAGGACATAAACAAACATTCCATCGTTTCTGGACAACAAAAACTCAACTGTCATAGAATTTACTTTTATTAAAGTGACAGTTAGCCATTGCATAGTAAAATGTAAATGTTAAGTCAAACAAATATTTGATTTCTATTAGTTTTTCAGTGTTTTGAGTGGCCGAATGTTTTAGATCATACGGTTTAGTGACGTAGTTTCGATTCCTGGCCGGCATGTGACAAAGAGTAGGGTTGCCTGGCCAACTTCATGGGTTTTATCAGGGTTTTAATAGGTTATTAGGTCAATACAGTAATCTATCATTGTTTAATAGTTGAGAGCTGTCTAGTCGGTTGGATGGGGCGGAAAAACGAGGTCCTGCGTATACATTGGCGTTGCACGTATATAAGAGTAGGCTATAGTGCCGCTGCCCAGGCAAAATTTCCCTCATAGCACACTCTATGGCGTGTTCCCGTCTTCATTAGCCCAGTCGGAGCAGAACAGTAGGACGTTAAACCTCATTTCATTTCATTTGTTTAATAGTGGCTAAGTCATTAAGACACTACCTCGATAAAACCAGTTCTTGGGTTCGCTCCCGTTGTTGGCCAAGTCCTCAGGCATATCCGGCATTGTTACCCCTTGTCAGGGATTCTAGATGGAGGGTCTGACAAGGAATGGTATCTAGCCATCCGGATGGGACGGAGAAAAGTAAAACAAATCGGGACAGTTTGAATTTGAGATAAAAGAGTAGGTCGTAGTACTGCTGTCAAGGCAAAATTTCCCTAATAGTAGTCATAGCACACTGTTTGGTCTCTGCCCGTCTGGAGCCACAGTGGTTATGTGAGTAAGGCGTTGGGGCTCGCTAGCTTGGAGGTCGCGGGCACGACCCCGGTGCTGACTGAGAAACGGGGGATCACGTGGCTAAGTGGGTAAGACGCTGGCTCGCTAGCCTGGACATCGGGTGTTCAATCACTGCATTGGCCGAAAAAGTTCATCCAGATTTTCCGGCGTGGTTCCTCCTTGTCAGCTGCATTGATGCAGGACAAAGGGCTTGACAAGGACAGCTGTCTAGTCGTTTGGATGTTACGAAAAACTGACGTCCCGTGTACATATTGGCGTGCATGTTAAAGATCCCTTGGCAGCTGGAATTTGATAAGAGTAGGTTTCCCTCATAGCACACTGTATGGCGTATGTCCATCTTCATTAGCC